CGAATCTTATTGGGCAGTGACTAGGAGCTCAGTACGTGAGCAGAGATCCTACATACTCTGCGTCAGGTAATAGCATAACTGTGTGGTGTGTCGCAATCCTACATAGGCACTCATAGCTGTTCTCACAATCCTGCTTCGGATAAAGTAGATCTTTCCAACTGAAATATTTCAGCTCTCAGCGTCACATTGCATCGACGGCTTGTCAGCTAGTACTTATTTCAGATTCATTTGTTACTGAAGTTATCACCGGCGCTATGGCGTGTGCCTTCTGCTGAAGTTAGATTGAGAGCGAATCTCATTTGGCTGTCACTTACAGGGGTAGACATGAACTTTTGACAACTAGCCTCAAAAAGAGGGAGTCGCAACACAATGAGGGAGTCCGCAGTTGAGGTTCAAAATTAAAATATTAAAAATAACGATTTTAAGATTCATGCAGTTGCACGTGTCTGCAACATTTTTTTGACATTAGCTGAAAATAACAGTAATTCCGGCGATGGCGTGCTCGCGAATGAACTAGTTTCTATGGCAGAATTATTCAGGGAGTCCACGGACTCCTGCATATGTCAAATCAGGAGTCGACAGTAAATCAGGGAGTATTTGACTCGGATCCGTTAATTTCACCTACTTATACAGAACGTATATCACCATATACCATTCCATGTAACCTATTATACACACCACACACTATATAAACATCCAGACACATGTCAAACACCACCCAACACATTGCATCACACCACCCACACACCATTCTACACCCACACCATTTAAAACACACACCACGCATTTCATACACCACCACACACCATTCATAACACCACGCACACACCATTCATCAATCCACACACGATTCATAAGCACGCACCACCCATTCGATACACACGCCACACACCATTCATACACGCACCCACACCCATTCTAGCACCACCACAACATTGCATACCACCCCAACGACGCACACACCATTATACATCACGCACCATTCAGGTGGCAAATCCACTTTAGGCACCGTTAGGTATGACGAAGTGATGGCACAGATTTCTGTGTATCATCATTGATGGCAAGAATTTCTGTTATATCAAGGAATGATGGCAAAAGCCTAAAATCCTAACTAACCTAAGCCCAACCTACCTAACCCTAACACACTTCGTTGTTACTAAGGAGTAAGGTTATACTTTATGACTTAGGGTTAAGGTTAGGGTTAGGTTTTGCAATGAATTCGCTTGATATACGGAAGTTGTGCATCAGTTGATAGCTACACAGAAATCTTGTGGCATCACTTCGTGATAATAAGGTGCCTAAAGTGGAGTTTGCGCCCACCATTCATACACCACCACCAGTTATACACCACCACCACCATTCATACACCACCACACATTCATACACACCACACCCACAACACATTCATAACCACTGCACGACACCATTCATACACGCACCTCACAACCATTATACACCACCACACACCACCCCCACACCATTCATACACCACCGCACCACACTTCATACACCATTCATAACACCACAAGCCATTCATGAACGAGCCACACGCCATTCATACACACCACACACGTATTCCATACACACCACGACACCATTCATACCACCCACAGCCACGCATTATACACCACCACACCCATTTCATAACACCCAGATCCATTATACCTACCACCGCACCAACACACACAATTATCACCACGCACAACCATTCATAAGCACGCACAACACCATTCATACACGATTCATACACGCACCACACACCAATTCATACACAGCAGCCACACGCCATTGCATACACGCAGTCCCACAGCACATTCATACACCCCACACACCATTCATACACCAGCCACACCCATTACATCACGCGACCCACCACATTATACACGCACCCACACAGCGAGAGCCATTCATACACCACCTAACACCCATTCATGACACCACCACAAACCTCACACACCATTCATAACAACCCACAGCACCATTCATACACGCACCACACATTCTCACCACGCCAACACATTCATACACATTCATACCCAGCAGCCGGGCACCACACACCATTCATGACAGGACCACCCACACACATTCATACACGCACCCACGACACATTCACACACCACGACACACCATTCATACACACGCCCACACATTCATCACACGCACCACACACCATATGCATACATACCATACCCATTCATACACCACCACGACACCATCTTCCATCAGGACCACCACAGACACCATTCATACACCACGAGCCACAAATTCATAGACCACCACACCACACACACACTATTCATAATCCATCCACAACCCTTCATAAACACCACAACGCATTCATACACGCACCCACACACATTCATACACCACCCACACACCATTCATACACGCCCACACACCATTCATAACCACCCACACATCATTACACCACCCACACACTCATTCATACACCTCCAGCGACACCATTCTACATCAGCACACACCATTCTACCCACACACACATTCATGACTACTCACCAACCATTCATAACCACGAGCACAACATTCATCACCCCACACCTCACCACACCGGATTCATACATCACCCACCATTCATAGACCACCCACCACAACCATTCATAACACACACCACACACCATTCATCACACACACACACCATTCATACACCACGACACACACCCCAACCCCACGCACGCATTCTACATAGCCACAACACGGCATTCATACACCACCCCACCACACCAATATCATAACAAACCACACACCATTCATACACCACACCACATTCATGACACATCCAAAACCATTCATACATCACCACACACCATTCATTACACAGAATCACCACACACCATTCATACATCACACACACCATTTCATACACACCCACGACACCATTCATGACACATCGAGACACACACGCATTCATAATCACACAGGCACCTTGCATACGCCACCCACACCATTTCATACACACCCACACACCATTCATAACGCACCAACAGGCATTCATACACACGCCACACACCATTCATAACGACCCACACACCATTCGATCACGGCACCGCACACACATTTGATAACCACCCAAACACCATTCATAAAACCATTCCATACCCACCACAAGCGCACGCATTCATCAACACGCACCCACACCATCATACACCATGCACACAAGTTCGCATACCCGACCCCACACGCCATTCATACAGCCATCACAGCACCCATTTCATACACACCCAGAACACACACGGACCCACCAGCATTCATACACGCATCCACACACCATTCATCACATACCCACACCATTCATACACGCCACACCATTCATACACACCCAACACATTCATACGCCACCCCGCCCACCATTCATACACGACGCCACAAGCACACCCACACACCATTCTGACATCACCCAACACCATTCATAACCACCCACACACGATTCATACAGCCACCACCCTATTCATAACCACCAACACACCACCCACACATCAGCCCACACACACCCACAGCACGCACACACCCATTCATACTACCCGACGATTCATACACACCCACACTCATTCATAACACCACAACCATTCATACACCAACCGCACACATCCATTTCATACACAATCCACACAGCACATTCATACATCACTCGGCACACCATTCATAAACCACCCCACACCATTCATACTCAGCCCCAACACATTTCATACCCACCGCAACCGCATTCATACACCTCCACAACCATTACATACTCACGCCACACACCATTCATAGCACACCGCAGCACACGCATTCACTACACCCCCACACACCATTCATACACCACCCCACACATTTCATTACACACCGCAACCAATTCATACCACCAACCCACAACACCATTTCATATCACCACCAACCTTCTTACACACCACAATCCTTCATACACCATTCATACACCACCACACCAATTCATAACGACCACCACCATTCATACACATACCACCACACCATTCCATACCACCCACACCCATTCATACACCATCCACACACCATTGCAAACATCCGACACACCATTCATGACACCGCCAACACCATTTCATAACGGCACCACAACGACATTCATACACACCCACACCATTCATACGCACCCACACACCATTCACGGACCAACCACGCAATTCATACACACCCACGGAAACCATTCATACACACCCACACCATTGGCATAGCCACGCACACCATTCATACACCACCGCCTACACCATTCATACACCAACCACACACACATTCATACACAGCACCTCACTACACATTCATACACACCCACACACATTCATACACACTCACAACCATTCATACACCACCACACACGCATTCATACACGGCACGCCATACCATTCATACCCACACCACCATTCATACACGACCATACAACACCATTCATACACGCACCAACCATTCATAACACCACCGACACACCATTAACACACCCAACACCATTCACACCACCCAACACCATTCACAACATGAAAGTTGATAGTGTAAACCTAGCTTTACTCAGTTTGCAACGTCTAAACCACGAGCATACACACCCAACAAAGAACATGCACAGGCATTTGTCTTTTTAAGCAGGCGCCACATCCGTTTTATTAATTATTATGATTATTATTTTATCCTTATTAATATTATTTCTTATCACAATTAATTATGGCACATCACTGATTTCTTTCCTAATGCTGCCAGTCTGTCCAAATTACAAACACCCTTCATTACCCGTCCAATTCGAAATGCAAAGCAGCGATAGCATGGAATTGAGAGAACCTACTCGAAAGCGCCTCGCACGCATCATTACCCAGTCTAATTTTTAAACGTGGCGTGGCGAAAATGCAAAACAAAAGAACATTCGCGAAACTGGCCGGCGCACATCATCATTACCTGTCTAATTTGAAACATGGCGCGGAGAGAACATTCGTGAAGAACAAAAGAACATTCGCGAAACTGGCCGGCGCACATCGCATTACCTGTCCGACTCGAAATACGACGCGGCGAGGACGCAGAACAAGAGAACGCTCATGAAGCTAACGAGCGAGTAGTAGAGGATCGGCTCCCAGGGTGGGCGCGGCAGCATGCCCGCGCACTTCGCGATCATGGCAGCGGGAAGGGTTGCGATGATAGTCGTGTTCAGTGGATCGCCGAGACTCGTCGCAAACTGCAGGCAGCGCTGGACGCGCGACATCGTAAAGTCCGGAGTGAACCTGTGAGGAGAAAGAACAACAACACAGCTCGTTACGTCTGTGCGTGCGTGCGTGCGCGCGTGCGTGCATCATTGTGCTTATCGTAAATATTACCTAAATATTATTTATTATTATGTGTTATCGTCACCCGTGCTTATGTCTACGTGAAATCCGCATCGAAACTGTTCACGGAACATGCCGAGCGCGTGAAGTTACTCACGCGATCGGCATGTAGAACTGCATGCATGTATCATCGTAAATAACCGTACTTACGACGTCTACATTAAATCTGCTTCGAAACTTCGAATGATCATTCCGTGAAAAGTTTCAATGCAGATTTAACGTAGACATACAGCTCATACGTTGTGCGCGTGTCTACATCGAAACTGTTCGCGGAACGAAGAGTCGAACGTGAACGTGAACTCCTGCGATCGTCATGTGAACGTTGAACAGTTAGTTACTCACGCTATCGTCATGTGCTGCGTCTTGTTAGGCAGCAGCTCAAACGCTGCGCAGTTGAGCACCTTGAAGCCATAGCCCTCGCAGTGATGCTCGTTAACGGAGACAGAGTTAACGTAGAGCGGAAGTTCGCCCGTGTTGCGCAGAGTTATCTTGCGCTGCACCGGAAACATGGGCGTTATCTTGTGACTGAGAGTTTCTGCAACGTCAAGATCGCAATTACTATCATATTTTTTCGTAAGTGTCGTCGTTTATAACAATAATAATAATGATGATACTAATAATAATAATAAACCCAACAACAATAATTTCGATGAAAATTGTAAAGGAATGTGTTCAATATCTCTCTCTCTCTCTCTCTCTCTCTCTCTCTCTCTCTCTCTCTCTCTCTCTCTCTCTCTCTTCCCATGTTTGCTTGCCTTCTCAAATACCTGATGTTATCCACCATATATTAGACATTAAATGAGATTATATTAATTCATGATAAGCACAAATATATCAACCTTTCAATGCCAGAAATAATACACTTAGTCCTAACATTACTGCGAGAAGCGATATAATTAGGCCGACATTAAGGTGCACTCACAGGATCTGTGTCTATAAGCTCTGTGTTGTGTTGTCGCGTAAGTTGAATGCCACTACCCTTCTCTACTCCCTTCAGTTCTACCACTGTGTTGCGCTGGTTACAACTAAACTCTTTGAAAATGATCTGAAAAGACAAAACGGCGGTGTTATATATTTGAGAGGGTCTAGACCTACCTACACAACAAACAGCTTTCATTGGACAGTGTATTATACATATATATGTAAATACACATACACACACACACACATATATATATATATATTAATTTTGTGCATATATACAGCCCCTCCATGACTGATTCGCTGAGTCCATGGGGCTGAAGTTAAAAACAAGCATAAACAAACTGGAGCATAATGGATAACATTAAAATGACACTGTCTAATTTGCATATATTTTTTTACTCTACCTACTATCTGTACATAGCACTTTGACACTGAAAGCACTCATTCAGCTTAAAATCCTCAGTCACATACGGACCGTAGAACTACTCACGTGGAATTCATAGAACTAATCCTTCAAGATTATAATGTATAAAAACCAGACTATTCATTGGGTCTATAAGAGAATGTATACTCACATCTACAACGGGCCGGCGCACATCCATCATACCTAGTCTAATTTGAAACATGGCGCGGAGACATTCGTGAAGAACAAAAGAAACACAAAAGACATCTCAGCCAGAAACTGGCGCGGCGCACAATCGCATTTACCTGTCCGTACTCGAATACGACGCGCGCGAGGACGGCAGAACAATGCACGAGACGCTCATGAAAGCTAACGAGCGAGTAGTAGGGATCCGGCTCCAGGGTGGTGCGCGCAGCATCCGGCGCACTTCGCGATCATGGCGCGGGAAGGGTTGCGATGATAGTCGTGTTCAGTGGGATCGCGGGACTCGTGCGCAAATGCAGCAGCGCTGGCGCCCGGACATGTAAAACGCTCCGGACAATTACGTGAACCGCGGAGAGGAGGAAGAAAACACGACTCATTTACGTCTGTGCGTGCGTGCGTCGTGCGTTGCATCTTGATGCTTATCGTAGAATTGATTATTTATGTATTATGTCGTTATCGTCACCCGTGCTTATGTCTACCGTGAACATCGCAGCGAAACTGCTTCACGGCATCATTACGGAGGCCGTGAAATTACTCACGCGATCGCCCCGCGCCATCTTGTATGCTTTAGACGCATCGGCAGGTATCTCGTAAATAACGGTACTTACGACGTCTACATTAATTCTGTGCTTCGAAACTCCGTCGAATGATTCATTCGCTGAAAAGTTTGCAAGGCAAGATTTAACGTAGAACATACAGTCATTACGTTTGTCGGCGTGATTTCTACATCGAAACTGGTTCTCCGGAACGAAGGAGTCGAACCCGCTGAAGGTGAACTCCTGCGATCGTGCATTGTTGAACGTTTCGAACATTTGTTACTCACGCTATACGTCATTATAGTGATGCTGCGTCTTCGTTCAAGGCAGCAGACTCAAAGGCTGCGCAGTGAGCACCTTTGAAGCCATAGGCCCTCGCAGTTGAATGCTCGTTAACGGAGACAGAGTTAACGTTAGACGGAAGATTCGCCCGTGTGCGCCAGAGCTTATCGTTCGCTGGCACCGAAACATGGGCTGTATCTTTGTGCTGGGAGGTTCTGCAACATGGCAAGATCGCAGATTACTATTCATTATTTTTTTTTTGCAAGGTGTCGTCGTTTATAACAATAATATATGATGGATATAATAATTAAAATAAACCCAAGCAACAAAATTATCGACTTGAAAATTTGTAAAAGGAATGTGTTCAATTACCATCCTGTAAGAAATATTCCCCATACCATGACATGCCCTCATGCACGCACGCACACACAATCACACACAGAATGCACAAAGCCGCACGCAAAACCACGCCGCGTACAATGAGGCCAACACACGCAAACCACCCGACCCTTTAAAACGCATTATTATTATTAGTTATCTCATCATTATTATTATTGTTATAAACGACGACACTTGTTGCAAAAAATAGCTATGATATAAATTATCGGCGATGCTTCTCTGATGTTACTGACGTACAAACGCACAACAACTCCTAGCGAGCCCTCACGCCAACAGCGAGAACGCCCACTGTTTCCGCGTACGCACACACACCCACACACACACACCACACACACACACACCAACACATAGACATGGACAATACACTACACATACACACATACATAAGCAACCACACGACACACGAACCATACACAGACACACGACACACCGTCACACCCACAACCCGTGGAATAAAGGAATTGCAAAAGTCACTATATTAAACACTAGTTACTGCGGGATTGCCAAGTATGGGACATAGAATACACAGATCACAACAACCGACGTAGGACACGAGCCTACTACTCAATAAATCACTGGAAACAAAACAGTGATATCAACCAGGATTTTCCTATAACTTATCAGAAATGTTCGCCAAAGGCTCATATCCATGCCGGACTACACAATTTCATCACGAGAATCTTGTGAAAAAGACTGCGTCTGACGACAGCGTCATTTACCCATTTGTTACACACAAGCCATCAAAGATAGTGCATGTGCATGTCCTTTGTAAAGGCACTCAGGACTGCACCACAATGAACTCGTAAATCATAGTGAATAGTCCTCTT